ACGCGGGTCCAGAGCGTCGAGCAGATCCGGGAGGTGGCCTCGGGAGCAGCCCGCATCCGCGGGGAGACACTGGGCCTCATCGGCTTCGGTAGGTGCAGCTGCCCAGCCCGCCCCCCACCCACCGGTGCTGGCGCAGGGACCCCATCCCCCCCCCCCACCCCAGCGAGGAAGAGCCCGGGAACGGCCGGTCCCCTGGGAGCTGGCCTTCCCTGTCTGCTGGGGGAGCCAGAGGCTGACGAGGCAACTGCACCCCCGGGGAGGTGGGTCTGCAGGGCTGGGTGGGGAGCATGCAGCACAGGGGACAGTCTCCGCCGCTGGGCAACAGCAGGGGCTGTGTGCCCGCCGATTGCCCCGGGTAGGGGCTGCTGGAGGTGCCTTGTGGAGAAACCAGCAGGCTTGGGGCTCGAATGGGGGCTGGTGTCTGAGCCGAGATCTGGGCCATGATCAAGGCCAAGCCCCTGGAGACCCTCAAATGCCCGGCCAAGGTGGCAGCAGGGAGTCCCTGAAGAATTTTGAGCCAGAAGGTGGCATGGTCAGGTCATCAGTTTAGAAAGCCCACTTGGGCTGGCGGCCCTATGAGCGTCGTGGGCGGGTCACCAAGGACAAGGTGAGCTGTGACGGAAAGCGGCCTGATGACGTTGACAGCACAGGGGCTCAGGTGGGCCCCGCGCTGCACAAAGGGGGGCTTGCTTTACTGCTGAGTCTCAGCCCCGCCACTCGGCCATTCCATGACCTTGAGGAAATTCACTGACCTCTCTGCTTGGGTGTCCCACTCTGTACCTCAGGAAGGGCGTGACCCCAAGCTGTCGCTCGACCTTAGAGCTGTTTCCAGAAAACCAGGGGTCAGGACGCCAGCCTGAACAAGGTAGAGGGAGCTGGGTTTCTTCGGGGAGGGCGCATCTAACTCCCCAGGGTGAGCTCAAGAACGCAGGTGTCAGGGGTGATCACACTCTCGAAGGCATTCCTCTAAACGATTTACAAAGGAGTCCTCTTTACTTTTTCTCAAGTGGACGCCACAAGTGACCATGGGCAGCGCGGGTGCGTTGTGTGAGGACCGCAGCGCCCTCTGCTGGTGCCCGCTGGGCCTCCTGTGGCTCTGTGCAGTGGCCCGTGGAGATGCTGCTTAGAACATGGCGCGTGTTCTTACCCCTGCAGCAGCTGAGCCCTTTGCCGTCCTTTGCAGTCCCATGGTTTGAGCCCCGTTCAGTTGAGACTGTAAGCCAGCACCGCCTCAGCCCCTGCTCCCCGTGCACTCTGACGGGGAGGTCGCCTTGCTGCCTTTCAGGTCTGTCTGTAGCCTTCCCCAGTGCAGACAGGACTCCGGACGGGAGGAGGCGTAGTCGGAGCCTGCCTGATGCCTCCCTCCGAAAGCGTTCGGTTGCCTGAGGCTTCGCTGAGCAGCAGCACCCGGAGGGGCGGGGGGCGGCCCAGCCCTGAGCGTGGCCCCAGCCCGGGCTGGTGGTGGGATGGTGCTTACAGCCAGCCAGCCAGTGGCAACAAGATATATGTATTATATTTTTCAGGCCAAGACAAGTGGTTTGTCCTGCAAGGCTCAGTTTTGATCAAGTCAGTAACAGAATTAACTCACTAGGTCTTGTAGAAACTTAAGAAAACCTCCGGGCTAACAGAGAAGCTAGTGAAAAGATGAGGGTTAGGGGACTGATGGAAAGGCTGGAAAACCACGCTCGGGCCCCGGCAGCCACAGCCGGGAAGCCCCATCTCCAGGCAAAGTGCGTTAGAACATGGTGGGGGGGGGGGGGGGCGTTCCTGTGTGGGCTGAGAGCATGGGGTCGTGTGTCCCCTGCTTCGGGGACGTCAGGGGGGTTGTAGGCCACTGGTGCTTCTCCAGCTTGTCACCTTTGTCGTGCCTGTCTGTCCACTGGGGTGCGCTGCGTCCAAGTGGTGACGCCGAGGAGGGAGGACAGGAAGGACAAGCACGCACCGGTTGCCTTGCCGCTGGCCCTCCAGCCCGCAGGAGTGGGGGACAGCCCACCTCCATGGTGCCCTCACGTGGGCTTCCCGTTTGGGAAGGGATACCTTCCCTTGTCTCCTCCTTCCCTTGCACCGTTGAGCAGTGGTTTCAAAGACGATTCTGCACGCTTCCCAGAGGAGCCTATTCAAGCATCACGCAAACCACTTTGTTTTCAAGCCGAAAACAGCTCTGGGAAGCCGGAGGCGCTAGCCATGGGGTGCCGTGGGCTTGTGCAAATGCCAACCACTTCGGAGACAGGGAGGCCGTCCCGGACGGTTAGGTGGTGTGGGCCACTAACCCGCTAGAGAGAGGGGCCTGGGGCTCCCCCAGCAGGTCAGAACCAGCCTGCACACCCGACCGGTGCGGGGCTCCCCCTCCCCATCAAAGTGAGGCTCCCGCTCCGCGGGGGGCCCTTCCAATCCCTGTGCCCCTTCGTGAGCAAACCCTGTGCTCCTTGGCAAGAGAATGTGCTCTCTTACTGCCCTCTCTGTCGCAAGAAAGGACGCTCAGGTTAAGAAGCCTGCTGTGTACCCAGAAACCTCGGGGAGAGAGAAGGGGGGATGGGAGACTGTGGCGCCGGCTGCAACTGGGGGGAGCGGCACGTGGCATTCACTAGAACATCCTCTGTAGCTGTATGTTTGAGAAGGTCCATCGCAGGAGCCTTAGCGCGCGCGCATGCACACACGCACACGGGCACGCGCACGCACACCGCTGCAAACAACAAGCTCCCCGCTCCTCACCCAGGAAGCCAAGGAGCCGCACTGGCGGAGAGCATCACCAAGCTTTGGGCACGCGGTTGCTCTGGCAGCGGGGGCAGCTGGGGCCCCCACAAGGCGCGGCATCCGGAGCGCTGGGCGGCAGCGGACAGGACTGCGGACTCGCTCACCTGGACGCTCTCTCTCTGCACAGGTCGCACGGGGCAGGCGGTTGCTGTTCGAGCCAAGGCCTTTGGATTCAGCGTCATATTTTATGACCCCTACTTGCAGGATGGGATAGAGCGGTCCCTGGGCGTGCAGAGGGTCTACACCCTACAGGACTTACTGTATCAGAGCGACTGCGTCTCCTTGCACTGTAATCTCAACGAACATAACCACCACCTCATCAATGACTTTACTATAAAGCAGGTAACTGGACATAAATACCCTCAGCCCCTGGAGACTTCCAACCAAACAAAAGGGGGGTAGGGGAAGGGAAGTGGTCCGTGGACATGTGCGTGGAAAGGGAAGACCATCCCCCAGGACATCAGTGAGGGACCAGGTGAGGCCCTAGCACGGGATGGGCCACGTCAAGCCAGGACAAACGGGGGCTGGCCTAGGACCCAGCAGGGACCTGTCTCAATCAGGTTTGGCCTCCCAAGAAGCAGCAGGCAGGTGACAGGCCCCAACTCCAGCCTGCCCGCCTTACGGCCCCGCGGAGGCGGCGCAGAAACCCACCCAGCTGTCGCTGGCACCCCCTGCGCCCCTCCCCCGCCCAGCCGCACATGCACTCAACAGCCAGACCAGCAGAACTCCTTGGTCCGGGCCGTGGCTGGCTTCTTGAAACCTCCGGGCAGGTGCCTTCCAGCGTGGTGGCATCTAACGGCTTGCTTTCCTCCCACAGATGAGGCAAGGAGCATTCCTAGTGAATGCGGCCCGCGGTGGGCTGGTGGATGAGAAAGCCTTAGCCCAAGCCCTCAAGGAAGGCAGGATACGAGGGGCAGCCCTCGACGTGCATGAATCGGAGCCTTTCAGGTGGGTCTGCTGGGCTGCTGACCCGATCGTTAGCCGAGCTCCCAGCCTCACACCAGGAACTCACGGGGCCTGCTTCTAGCCCTGACTGCCCCCCGCACTGACCGCAGGGCACTTCCCCAGAGAAGCGGCTCCTGGGGAGGAAACCAGAGACCTACAGCCTCTGCTCCAAGGGCTGGGCTGTACTTGGAGTGTAAAAGGGCCAGAGGGCCCACGAATGTCTGAAAGGAAGAAAAATGGTGTGTTGGTCTAGAGAGGAGCAGGCTTCATCTGTCCCCTGGACTGCGGGTTCTGCTCAGAGGCAGGCCCTGCCGATCCTCCGAAGATCCTTCCTCCTGCGTCCCTCATCCCTCCTGACACTCATTTAGAAGGTTTGGTCAGTATGTTCTTAAATTTCCAGCCTTTAGGAGACGTACTACCCACTGTTCTCTACACAGATTAACTGGTCAGTGTGCTGCATGGCCACCAGCTCTCTCTCGAGGAGTAGGGTAGGGAGTGATACTCAACTCTTCTCATTTGTTGTGTTTTTGTACATTTATCTAGCTTTGCTCAGGGTCCCTTGAAAGATGCACCGAATCTCATTTGTACGCCCCACACCGCTTGGTATAGTGAGCAAGCCTCACTAGAGATGCGGGAGGCAGCCGCCACCGAGATCCGCCGGGCAATCACAGGTGAGCCCGCCCTCTGCGGCCCCGCCAGCCAGCACCTGGTGGGAAGGACGGCCAGGGCCCTGCGGCTCAGCTAACACGCCAGAGGGCTTACAGAGGCTGGCTACTACAGGCAGAGGAGGTTTTAGGGATCAAGCTGATTACATTTGGAAGGAGCTGGACCCAGTTCATCCAAGCCCTGGACTCAATTTCAGAGGAAACGGATTCGTTTTCAGTCAGCCAGCATAAGCGTGCCAAGCGTGGAGGGAGCCAGGGAGAGGCTCCGTTCTGTTCCAGTGGGGGGGGCGGGCGGGGGCTGGAGTGAAGAGCGCAGGGCACAGGCCCCGCAACATTGCACCTTTTCTGAAAATGGAAGGGCCGGCCCTCTCATTCTAGAGTAAGAGACTTTACCGTCAGATTTCCATAGTTCAAACGTGGTAGGGGGTTCCCCCCGCAGCAGCTACTGAGAGTGATCTGTAACTGTGACCTTAAAAAAATACATCTGATTAATTTCAATCCTCATATTCCAGGTCGCATCCCCGAAAGCTTAAGAAACTGTGTGAACAAGGAATTCTTCGTCACAACAGCTCCCTGGTCAGTAATAGATCAGCAAGCAATCCATCCGGAGCTCAACGGCGCCACGTACAGGTGAGAAGCAGAATGGCACCGGCCTCGGCTGGAGGGCTCCCCCGGGGGGGAGGGGAGGAGAGATGGGGAAACCACCGGAGTCTCCCTGCACCAAGTCTGCGGTCCTCGCAGTTGTGCCGCTGCCCAGTTTCTGTGGAGCAAACACAACTCTCAGGATGCAGCCTAGCATTGGGGTTCCTATTTATAAGGAGTGGGAATTGGGAGTGCATTCCCCAGAGGGCCTGAACGCTGTGAGGACTCCCCCTGCATTCCGAACCGTATCAGAAGCAGAGGGCTTCTGGGCGTGAGAAGGTACCGGGAAGATTTTCAGGGGAAAGGGCCTGCTGGTGAATTTGTTTGCTAATTTGAATCTTCTGGCCCAGAGCCCGCACCGCCCCGTTTCCCATGGCTCTCTCCCGACCATGGCTGGGCTCACAGGGAAATCAAAGTCCGGCTCTATAAAGGAGCTGCAGCCTTGAATTCCAGTAGGAAATTGCGCTCTTGCTGTAACCCACGGTTGCTCCACCCCTGGCAGTATTCACTTACCGGCCAGATCATTGTCCCCTGGGGCCTAGCCTCTGCACTGTGGGATGCGTCTTGGTGGCCCTGGCCTCCACCAGCACTCGCAACCCTAATAAAGGAAAATGGCTCGAGCTGTTGCCTAACCTCCCCCGCTGTGAGGCACGGCTCTAACCACCCTCTAACCATCGGGGCGGCGGGGGCAGGGGGGCGAGGGCTGGGGGAACTAGAGTTGGTGTAGGAGGACCCATAGGTGGAGGCTCAGACTCTGAGGAAGTCAGGTGGTTTTCTTCCTGGGTCTCGTGGCTCTATTTACATTTCGGTTTGCCATCTTCTATTAACGTCCCACTCTTTTTTACCCTTTTAATAGTATTTCGGTATCGTCACTTGAACCTGCCCCGGCCCCAGGTTCCTGTTCCTTATTGTTGGCAGCTTGCCCTTTTCAAGGCCCCATGTTAACTCTTCCCTTTGACAGACCAAGCCTCCCCTGGCCCCTTGGAGTAGGGCTTCCGCTCGAGAGGCTGTAGCTCGCCAAATCCTGGGGAATCCTTCGTTGCCGACCAACCAGGGAGCACTTGTGACCGGGTGCGGGGTGGAGAGCCATGGTCGAGGGTTTGAGAATGGTGAGAACGAGGCTTTTAGTTCTAAAGCGCCTGCCTCCTACGTCCGCTTTATCCGAGGCATGTTTCAGTACCCGGACTCGCGTTTGCGTAAGAACCGCATGTTCTGTGGGTGGCTTAGTGCCGGCGTGTCCTCGCGCGCTCGGCAGCTCGTGCGCCCGGGCCTAAGGGCCGTCTTCGCCGGCTCAGCTCTCCCCCTGCTGCCGCCGCGGTCTGGTCCCACAGCTCCAGCCCCGAGAGCACACAGCTAGCTCGCCTGGGGTCTGGTCTGTTGGGAGATCATTAAAAGCATCGATACAAGTAACGAACACTTTCTAATGGGGAGCCTTTTTTTGAAGAGAATGTTTCCCAAATGCAGTAGTGTCCGTGGACGTGATGCGGGCTGTTCCTATTGTGTGAAAGCTACACGGTCCGTGGCAGTTTTGATTGGACTGCGTAGATTTTGTTGTTTAGGAGTTAAATGTCAGCGTTTTAGATTTTTCATGTGGATTTCTCCTTGCTTTTGGGGGGGTAAAGTGACTCACCTTTTTAAAAACAACAACCCGAAGTAGGCAGAGCCAAGGCCTCTGCTCCTCCCTGCTCCCGACTTACTGGCCCTTCCTTTGTGTGCTCCAGATACCCGCCAGGCATCGTCGGGGTGGCTCCCGGTGGACTTCCTGCAGCCATGGAAGGGATCATCCCCGGAGGCATCCCGGTGACTCACAACCTCCCCACAGTGGCACACCCTTCCCAAGCTCCCTCTCCCAACCAGCCTACAAAACACGGGGACAATAGAGAGCACCCCAATGAGCAATAGCAGAGAATGACGAACGGTCATCATTCAGATAAACCTGGGACCAAGAGACAGTGAAAAATAGATAAAACTAAGATAAAGGACTTTGACCGTCTTTTTAACCGATTCCGGACATACGCATCATTGACGCTGCAGTGTTACGAGCGCGCGAAGCCGAGGCGTGGGAAGGCTGGAGCTGTCATCTGGTGACGGAAGCGCTGAGAGACTAGGACGTGATTTATTAACGACCAACTTCTGTTATTGTGTGTTACGTTCTTCATCTGTGCATCCAATCACAAAGAATAAATAGATCCTTTTCCTTTATCAGCCCCTTGGGCACAGCAGGTCCTGAACACCTGGCTCTAGAATGTTGCATCAGGAGTTCCAAACGTCAAATAAAAAATACTAAGAGGAAATCCCCCTCCTATGACTCTAGTCCCTTCGGTCCATGGGGGCTGGTGACCTCGTTTGCTGATAGGAAGATTTAAATTACTACAGAGAAGGGGGAGAAAACTGTGTGCCCGGGTTAGACCACCGCAAGCGTACGGGCTCCTGTACAGAAGTCTCTCTCCCATCTGAACTGCATACTGAGCGGGCGAGTTGGTTGTGAATTCAGTGATACCCTCTTGATGATGCAAAAAAAGGAAAAAAAGAAAAAAAAGAAAAAAAAGAAAAAGTATTAAGTTTCACAAGCTGTTTGTACTCAAATATATTTTCTCAGTTTCAGATCCTCAGCTATTTTATTGAGTGGAAAGTCTTGAGCTAAAAGAGTTCAAGAAAAATAATGTTGCATTTCCTTATGTCTCAGGAAACACTTTTTATGGTAACTTGTCAGATTGTCTATGAACAAACCCACTTTTTTAGACATTGATAAATCTTCTTTTCTTCACGTGATATTTTATACAAGAACACTTCAGGTGTGTTATTAGATGTGACTGATTTTAACAAATCCTATTAGATTTGTATCAACTAGTTACATGTTATATTCATAGTCTTTTGTGAATCATCGCCTTTTTGTTTAAAAGATGGCCTATTTTGAGCCTTTGTATAGGTACATTCCTGTTTTTGTGACAAAAAAAAAAAATCCTTTAAAACTGTCCCAAACAGAAAAATAATGGCTATCGGAAGTGTTTTGTTTTAGTGTGAGTTCCCGCTACTGTGTCTGTTTATTGTAAAGGTGGACATTTAGCGTTCAGTGCAGTTTTCAATAAAAAGTAATAAAAATTTGTTAAGTTCTGAAATTCAAGTACATCTCACCCAGGTAAATGTTCTCTACTTGAGATGTTTTAAAGGCAAACTACATTCTCAATTAGCCAGTTTTCAACTCGTGTTCCTCCCGGGTTCAAAAATGAACACTTTTCTATCTGCCCATATGCAGGCGATTACCTGTGATAGCTTAACCCAGAAATCAGAAAACTGCCCATTAAGTCCATCGTTACCAAATCATGACATCCTCAAGATGAAATAGTGGGTTGGAACTAAGTCGATTCAAGAAACAAAATTGGTCAAGTTAGCGAGTTTTGATTTTAATTTACCCAAAAGCAGAATTACCTGGCTCAAGCATTAATGCAGGAAGGGAAGTGAATCTCAAAATTCTTTTAAATATTTACAAAGAAATGTTACAAAGAAATCATCCATTTCCATATGTTAAGAACTTTAAGTTGATTTAAAGGATTTTCCTTCTTGAATAGCATTAAATCCCTTTGTTCTAGTGGTATCCGCAAGTAACCCATCCATCAGGTCCAATTCCAGGTACCCAACTCCCTGTCACTCCTTTCTCCTCCCCTTCCCATGAAGAAAAGGGGGGAAGGGGCTACGATCAGGTCTTCAAACATCAACCTCCTCCCTCATCTGAAGGTGGTGGCCCCATCCCAACCCTCCCAGAAAAATTACATTAAAACAACCTCCTATGGTAGAGATGGAGCACATGGTTACTGACTGACCCATCACTCCAGGAAACGGAATGGGAGCTGAACGTCCTCGTCATAACCAGAATGTTGTCAATGAGGGCATGACAACACATGCGCAAAAAGGAGACTCCCAACCGCCTAAAGCAAGCAGTGTTCCCGTAACACGGATGAAGTGTGGGACACGGTGAGCCTAGAGTAAAAAAACAAAAAGGCCAGTTCAAATCCATGGTGCACCTAGGTTTTGTTTAATTAGAACAGAAAACACCACACTGTATTCTCCCTAAAAAAGAACGATAAAGTTAAGTCCATACAGGTAAGGTAATTACTGTCCAGAGTCAACCAAGACCTCATCTTTGAGAAAGGACTGCGTACTCTATCTCGGGACAACAATTATGGCTGTTTAATAGTTCAAGAGCTTAACATAGCATTGATTCACCAACATTTTGGCCATTAGTGGCCAATCTGCTATGAAAACCATTTAAAGCCCCATCCCTGTCTGGAGCCTAGGAAATGCAATGCTCTACCTTTCCCACAGGGAAGAATGCTGTACCCGTTAAACTAGGTGTGGTCAGGATCACTGATCATAAATAAATAAATAAAGAGGCACCTCAGGGGAAGCAACACTCAGCAGACCACCACACACAGGCTAACTACTGAGCCTATGATTTCTGGACAGCATTGACTGCAGCGTAGACCATAGTGACTAGACACTTCTCTCAAACATTTCTCTTTGGCTTCTTCAATTGAGAGGGTAATTTTGCTTAACAGCAACTAGAATAGGATCTGTGCCCACTAAAGAATTCTTCCTATGTATGGAGAAAAGTTTACAGAGATGCTAAGTAGTCAGAACGACAGCCTTCTAAAAACTTACCAAAATGAAAGCTAACCAGAGAGTCAATTTGTAGGGAAACCTAGCCACTTAGAACAGTAACATTTACCATTATTACACCAAAACTCATTTATATGAAATCAAATTGCAAAAGTTTCCTGCAAGTTTTAGCATACAGCACAAGTGATCCTCTCACCCGGGAATCTCTGCACTGTTCCGAGAGGGGAGAAGGAACTAAAGACATGACATCTCATGGGTATTTTTCTATTTTTAGTATTCCAGCATCAAATTAGAGGTGATGCACATTTCAAACACCATCTAAACAGAACTTAGAAGGAAACAAGAAGCAAATATTTAAAGGTTTTTCACAGCCTTTCCATCAAAGGGAAGGAACAGTGTGCGTGTGTGTGTGTATGGGGCTGCTTTCCGAATTCCTTGCCACATTAATAGTCTACAAAGTGCTTATCAGGACACTAAGTCTTTCATGTGTTCCTGAGATAGGCCTGAAATTTTTACCCAGTATTGAACATATACCTGAAGTGGTCAAATAATACTTTTTATAAAAAGATTTCTATCTAAGATTATAAGTTTTAACTTTTAAATAAGAATGGCCACAATTAACCAACATGCAAAAATTCTCAGACTACTCTGAGAAATTCATTATATAATGCATTTCCACCTTACTGCATTTTCAAATCTTTATTCTATACTTAACAATGATTCCCAATGAGCCCAAGCAAAGGCATGCCTTTCTAACACGATTTGCTTAAAGCAGAGTTGATACAAGGTAGAATCCAAAGACCCTCTGCATGGCAATTTGGGAGTATAACATCGTCAATTGAATCAAGTGCGCAAATTTCACACAATTCATTTAGTTACAAGTGGGCCTGTTCCCCAGGCTCTTTCTTTTAACTTACATCCCGGGAATGACGACTCACAGAGAGACTGCCGCCCGGACTCTGGGAGAAGAACCCTCAGGTTAAGGGTGCTCTTCCAAACAAATAAATACCTAAATACTGAAAAGGGGCATATCAGAAGCTTAAAAAAGACGAAATAATAGAAACCAAAACCCTTTCCAAAACAAGGGAATGACGTCTGTATGAAGTTCACTCAAATAATTCTTACTTTCCTTCCAGTTTGTTCCTTAAAGATTTGACTTCGTTTTATTGGGCATGACAGGAACTAAATTATTAATAAAATAAAAGCTTGTTTTTATTTTTATGTTTTGCTGTGGATAATTTGTACAGAAAGTTTCCAAATCTCTAATGAGCTCTCATGAGACTCAACGTAAAGTGGGCCTTTTAAGATGGAAGTAGAATGCCAGGTTCTACTTCAAAAAAAGTATCTCAAAGGAACAGAGAGTCATCTGCCATGTGCTTTTGGAGGTGCCCGTGCTGGAAAAAACTTCTCAATAATATGAAGATGCTGGTACAACTTGTCCTATTACACAACTTCTTACACAACCACATGCGTTACACATTTATAGACAGATTTACAATTTGAAAGGAAAAAAGTTCTGTCTTAATAAAATTAGGTTTTTTTCTTCTTTTTTTACAAACTGTAGTCCAAACAAAGTTCTCTGTCTCCTCACACAGCAGATACGTCATCTCCATTGGGTGTGGATTAGAAAAGCCCTTCCGGGCAGATCCTGGCAGATCTGGTTCCTTCCATGCCTTGCGCTCTGCTTGGAGCGTGCACCACACTAGCTTGGGGGTCGCCACAGAGCTGATACCCTGGTCTTCTGCTCTTTGATTTTTTTCATTCATCTTCGTCATCTTCATCTTCCTCTCCGTCTGACAGGGACGTACAAGGCCGGATCTGACGGTAGCGGTCAAGCCATTTCTCTACCATCTGCGTGACCAGGGGGTGGTTCCGCCGCCGAGAACTTTTCTGCATGGCCACCAGCACCCCCCCTTCGGTCACACAGCAGTCCAGCCACTCCCTGAGCAGTTTCTCTTGCTGTTCCTCATTACCTAGCTTTTAGAGGAATGTGAAGAAAAGGGGAAATAATACCACAGATCAGAGACCTGCTAGGAAAAGTCTAATGAAAACATAGCTGGCAGGATTACTAACAAAAAGGTCAAAGCAACAAACTT